AAAAATCAGAAACCCTGCTCTCACAGAATGTTTTCAGAAGAATATCCAAATTTGCCAACAAAGATGCCAAGTGAAAGAGCTGGGATGAAAGTGAAATAGTTGGGATGAAAGTGAGAGCTCAGAACCCATACAGCAGAAATATTCTTTTTCCTAATATGAATACTTAAAGTCACTAACCACAGCACCTATCTACAATTTGAAAATTAACAGCAATGTTGAGGAAAACTAGGGTGCGCAGAAGTACAAAACCCTTCTGGATAGAGAGAAAAATCACATCTTCCTCTTCAAAATAGATCCTGAAACTAGGGTTGCCAGGTCTGCTTCCAAAAAATAGCGGACAAGCGGGGTGGGGGGGTGTTAAGTAGTAAAAAAAGTAGACTGTACAGCTTTAGATTACGTACCATTTCATCATAAAGCTTTTGAATAAAAAAAATGTCCACTATTTTGTGAAAAAAAATAGTGAACATAATGTGAAAAAAGTGGACTGTCCACTCAAATAGTGGACACCTGGCAACCCTACCTGAAACAGGGTCTGCTGGCTGCAATCCCCAGAGAAAACACTCTTGTCTATTACTGGCCCATGTATCCAGGAAATCATTCATATCATTTATACATCAGAAATCTTATGACTTAGTATTTTCTGTGCAAGTACACTGACGAGTCGCTTACAAGGCAGGACTTCGGGAGAAGCCATTGTGTGGGATTGCAAAATCCCGGGGTCCCGCTCCCTGCTGGACGATGGCGACGTACGTCAGCCTAAACCAACGGGCCTCGCTTTAGGTTAGGAAACACACGGACAACATGCTTCTTCAGGTGAGATGGCAGGCAAAGACCCTGAAGCCTCTCCGTGCCTCTCTTTTATTGGTACAAAAAGGGGGGGGGGTGTACAAAAAGACAATAGGGGGATGGCTCTTCATTGCCATATATGAAGTACACAAAGAACAGGAAACTTGAAACTAGGAGGTACTAATTCAAGGTAAGCTTTTCAGGAGAAATGAAACTTAAGTCAGGAAACGAAACCTAAGGCAGGCAGGTAAGCTTTTCAGGAGAAACGAAACCTAAGTTAAGGAACCAAATGGATGCAACACCATTGTACTAAGAAATAGCAACAACTAGCTTGGCGGGTAGGAACCGGATCCTACTCAGGTTCAAACGGGGGAAAAAAGCCTAGTGATTCATTCCAGTGGGATAGTGCCAAAAGAAGAGCGGGCAGACTCGGCTTACAAGCTTCCTCCCAAGATGCTAACCTCCCCGTCTGCGCATTACAAAAAGCTCGCCGGTTTCCCTCTGTGCAGCAAAATATCGGCTGCCCTCTTAAGCCTTCAGCTCACAGGAAGAACTGGTAAGAGTTTGCCAGACCTGTTGGGGACTCCTGGAAGGAGCCGAGACCGGCATTTCGGAGTCCGAGTCCAAAAGTTCTCCATCTTCGACATCCTGCTCCATTCTTGGAACTCCCGACGCCATCTTTCCTCTCTCAATCAGACCAGAAGCCGCGAAGGGACAAATGCTGGCCTTAGTCTAGAAAAACTACAGAGACCACAATGCTTTGCTCTAAGGAAAAAAAAGGCGGGACAATGAGCATTTCTTCCCTTCCTTCTTGAATCTTCATGAATTGTAGCCTTTTGATTTCTTTCCGCCCGAGAATTTACATCCGTTTTCTCTATTGAGAGATTTCCTACGTTGGTCCTTTCAGACCTGTATTTTATGCTCTAGAGCAGTGTTTCTCAACCTTGACAATTTTAAGGCATGTGGACTTCAACTCCCAGCATTCCACAGCCAGCATTGCTGGCTGTGGAATTCTGGGAGTTGAAGTCCACATGCCTTAAAATTGTCAAGGTTGAGAAACACTGCTCTAGACAGGTGTGAAAATGCGTTTTGACTTCGGCAGCCATTGGATAAACTTCAGTTGTTCGCGCCTTTGCCTTTAAGATGCGCGAGTGAGGCAGAAACTCGGGCAGCCCCAACGCGCAGAGAGGATGCGCCGAGGTCGCTACGAGCCGACGCTAGATGGAGGCGTGCCTTATTTGGTCCGCCAGGCAACGGTGGACCGAGCGTCTTGTCTTCTCCAATCCGGGCTCTGCGTTTGGGGGTGGGCTCTTGACGGACGCCTCTTTGGCTATTGGTGGTTCAATGTGCCACGGCCCCTTCTCGCTATGCTGCTGCAAGTTGGACTTTCGGGGCTCGCCAGGCGTGCTCTGCTAAGGAAGAGCGTCTCCTTCGCCGCTTCTTGCAACAGACCGGCCGCCTTCATGTCGACCTTGCTGATCAACCAAGCCCAGTACGCCTGGCTGAAAGAATTGGGGCTTCGAGAAGAAAACGAGGGCGTTTACAATGGCTCCTGGGGAGGAAGAGGAGAGGTAGGCTTGCAACGCGGGGTGGGAGCAAGTTTGACAGACAGCCGTAAAAACTGGAGGTGGAATGGCCCTGCGGGCACTTTTTGAAGTTGTTTCTCCAGTTCAGGGGTAGTCAACCTTGGCTCTTTTATGACTCGTGGACTTCAACTCCCAGAATTCCTGAGCCAGCTGTGCTGGCTCAGGAATTCTGGGAGTTGAAGTCCACGAGTCATAAAAGAGCCAAGGTTGACTACCCCTGCTCCAGTTCTTTGAGATTAGCATCGCGTCTTCGTTTTAAGTCTGCGGTTTTCTTTT